CACGTGATTTGAATAGATCACGAAGGTAAACGACACATTAAAACATGATAAATTATAACACGGAAGTCTTGTATGGCATTGTTTACTTCAACCTCATAATGCTGTGCTGATTTTAAAGTGGCATACTAACAATTCCCATTCGTGTTTCGCATATCATCGAGTCCCACTGTACGTGGAATCTGCCATTTTTTTTTGTCATCATTGCGTCGCCGATACAACGCATTCATACAGCTCCAATATACCCACATTCTTCTTGCACAGATATGTAGCCCAGAGCACACGTGCCTACAAAGCGTGAAAGTGTGGGTTCAAACTCATAGAGTGCCAAAACAATTTGTTTTTTATACGTTGATACAGTGAAGCTGTAAATCAAACACCTACGTAATTTTCAGCGACCAAGCGTGTCTGCCCATAAATACTGAAAAATTTTTCGTGACCTCCTCCTAGTAATTGGTGAGTTCACATATTCAGGTCATGGTGTGGCGTAATCACGACGTTACAAATAACCGAAATTTGTGAAGAGATGGGGATCGGTCGAAGGTATACTTGATCTGATCCCAGAGGTTGTGCTGCACCAAGTGAGATGTTTAAAGGTTCAGCGTAGCGTGGGTCGAGTCTAGGCACCGTGCTGACGTGGTCGTGCCGTAGCCTGGTATGGGTCGAGCGCGTATTGTGACAAAGCCAAAGAGCATAGCGGCTATGAGAAATGCTGTAGAGAGTGGAGACGAAAATATGCATGTCAGCATTGGACCCACTTTCACAGACGACAGGGGTTCTAACTTTTTTTTCTCCATTGCGAAAGTGGTCGCCTTAGGGATTCTGCCAGTTTTTTCCTTCCTCCCTGAACCTTTGCCTGTTAGAATTTTGGCTTCCTCAGGTATCACTCCGTGGATTTCGAGCTGACTGGTTGTGTTGTGCGCGATCGCCAGTGCCAGCGTAGCTCTCGCCGATCGGCCCGCCGTCCGCGATCTACTAGCGTCGTGTAGCCCTCGCCAATTGATGCCCCGATTTCGTGCTCCTTGGACCGTGTCACGGATTTTATATTTTCTTCCCCCTTCCTTTGCTCGTGTGTGGCGAGTGCTCCGTCCTATTTTTCTTGCGAATATTGTTTTATTCTCTTCCTCATCCCCTCAAAGGCCATGGGCCGAGTCGGCTGAATTTAGTTGCGTTTTTTTCCAAAACCCCTTTCTACTGAAAAGTAGATAATTCCCACGACAGCCTGCTAAGGCTGTTGCAGAAATTTTTGACATCACAATGTTGGGGCCTGGCAGCCTCAAGTGCCTTCGCCGCCTGCGTAGCTTGCACGCTTTTCCGCTTCTAAGTAGCTTGCTACAACATAAATAAACATTTCGTATTAATATATGGTAATTTAAAAATGCAAGAAGAAGATGTTTTGGGCTTGAGTGTACCTTAAGGTGCCACACTTCAAATTTTTAAGTGGCTGTTGTCCCCTGGTCTATTAGATCGCAAATTGTACACGATGCATGTAGGTGCAGTGGATACATCACTGTTACCGTACAGCCATATCAACTGGGTACAGTGCTTAAGGTGTCTGTGAAAAGCTTAAACACAATAATGATTTCTGCTTCACATTGATAATTCACCACAGAAAACAATTGGAGAAAGAAAATTGTTCCAGATACCGTTGTTTGCTTACATATATTATTCCCTTGATGAATTACTTGACCTTGGTTAAAACACGTTAGAATACTCTTTTAATATTGCTATTGTTACTTGTGCACACACATGTCACTCATAGCCATCTATTTTTTCTTATCTATACGAAGATCTATCTCTCCTTGCATGCCTATTGTTGCGGCTCCGGAGCACAAGATTCATAGCGACGACATCAGGCTGCTTTTTCGGCAAGCTATACGCCAGATACGACAGAACGAACAACAGACCAGTGCCATTCGCTTTTATAGAAATGCGATAACCGAACACATCATCAACAAAACGCGAGGAGACACCTGACACACGCGCACACCTGCGATGTGACGCCACATGGCTGGCGCAATATTGCGGCCGTGAGTGGAACACTTTGTCTCTGCCTATGTTCTCTGTCACTCTTTGTTTAAGGTGGTTCGTGCCGATCAGGAGGGTTTTTGGCGCGGGTATGAAATGTGCTATATGGCATGATGGGCTCTTCGAAACTGGGCTATCGACGTCAAATGAAACGCGAGTAGCGCGAGCGTTTGCTCTGCAATAAGGCATGGCTTCCAGCCATCCGCATGGATGTGGCGCGCACGTCCGGTATGGCAGCACTGCGCAAACTCCCTGTCACGCGACATTCTATATTCTCTTCTGGTTCGCATATGGTGACAACGGCAATGGCGGGCTTGTATGTGCGTTCAAAGATGTATTGGTCGTTGATCCTATCTTGGCTTTCATTTCTTCGTCTTTACAAATAGTATTGAAACCGGCTTGGGTGTGTGTGCAGTGCTGCCAAACTGGAGAGGCGTGCTTTTCAGTAGCGATGACTGGACGGGGTGCACTGTACCATTGCTAATACTTGCCGTGGTTAATTTGACTCCAATAGTACTTGCAGCAGGCGACATCAGGAAATTAAAAACAGCCAATTCTCTGGTCAGGCAGGTGTTATTTATATGGCAACACGGCTGAGTTGTCCATCGTGAAGCGAAGCATGGTGAGGGAACCTTGAATCGGTGTGAATATGGCCGGATAATGCTGTTGAGTGGTAAATATTGGGTGTCTGCCATGTTTTTGTTGCATTTGTCAAATCTGGTCAAACACCTGTCCTGTACTAGTGACGGTTCTATTTTGCTGTCTTTAAAGAATACGGCGCCGTTTAGACACCTTCGGTACTCATGACCGCGATAAACAAGGCAAACAATTGCATCACACTTGACATGAAACGCCGTATGTTAAAGCTCTGACATTATAAATAAATATAAAAGGGAACCTAGACCTGGTTAAACTTACTGCAACGGGCAGTTAACAGGACAACACTGTGCGCACTCAAGGGAGCCACAGGCCAGGCAAAGCTGTACACATTGTTGCTTTTGTAATCAGTATTCTTGTGGCCACCACCGTGTGCAGACGCAGCGTACAAGATGCCCGATACATGGTTTCAGAAGTGGAGTGTAAACCCATGCCCTTTGTTGATGAGCATGATGGTTGCGATGAAACAAAAGCTTTGATGTCCAGAGATTTCACAGTGTTCAGTTCTATCTGCTTTGCTGTGGAGGGGTTGTAGTCCAAACTAGCTCTGCTACGGCATATCGATAACTTCTGCATCAAAAAAAAAAAGAGAAAGGCTATCCAAATAAAGAATCGGCTAAAAAAGAAATAAAAAACATAAATGCACACTACAACCAGGTCAATGTACAGTTTGCTTGCGGTAGTTGACACTGTCATAAAAAACTAGCGTGCACAGCTTTCTTTATCTACTCTCAGTGCATGCAGTAACACATCATTTCATATATGCCAACCCTGAGCTGTGTATGACAAGCGCCTATTCATACCATTCTCCACTAAAACGTCTGTCGGGAAGACATTATTCTTGTTTCGAAGCTGCGTCACAGGCCATAGCTCAAGTAACTTCTGTATTGTTAGGGGTAATCTGTCCAAACTTGCTAATTTTGTCCTTAATTTTTCTTCTTTCATTTGCGTACTTTACACGCTCCAAAAAGTATGGCAAAAATTATCTTCTGCCTAGCCACAGTGGCGTTCCGGTGACTAAGAACGATGTACAATGTGGAGGAAGCTCAGTGTCTTGTCGTGTTAAGTCTGGTGCGAAAATTTGCTGACAGCTTCGAGCATATGCGCAAACGGCAAGGCTCATGAAATGGTTCCAACAGAAATTTTTCTAAGAATTGTTGATTCAAAATGTCAAAGGATGAACTGTCAGCGACTTCCTTCACATTTTATATAGTGGACAGGTGCAAAGGTGGTCACGGTTGCAGTCAACGCAAAATCTGTGCATGTCGGCATCTGTCGACATCGAAGAGCGAGACACGGCTATCGAACTCAGCACTAACAACCGGCAGACTCTAGCTACTCCACGTTCCGTTTGATAGCTTTCGTTGTTAGCAAATAACTGGTAGAAACGCTGTTTACATTACCGGCATTACCGGTTTTATAAAGATGCATATTTTAAACTCGGTGCATTTCATAATGAACCAATATCGCCTAAGCCTTTCCGCCCGTCTGTCCTTTTTTCTTGTTTGTTTGTTCTTTCGTTTGCATCTTTAGCTGCATGCGAACGTGGGGACCCTGCATCGCTGTAGTTACACTTAACCACAGAGTCTCGAGAGTGGTTGAAACATTTCCAGAAAAGGACCCTGTAGACACAGCGTTGTGAGAAAGCCTGTTGTGGTAGTAGAAGTTATTTTACAATAACGCAACAAAGATTACAGGTTTCAATTGTATAGTGTGGGAAGCTGGGCGAGTTGGCCTGAGGACATCCTTGGAAACAGTTCAGTGGGCACACAACAGGCAGGCCTGTTCGTCTTCTCGCTTTTCGTTTTTCGTCTGTCGTGTGCACGCTAAAATGTTTTTTGAGAATTACGTGTTTCAACCTTCGACTCCTCAAACGTTGATAGAATATACGCCGGCTATCACTGTAATTTGAACAGAATTGCATAGTAGCGTGCACAGTGTTGTGTTGAAAATGACGTCCTTTTTTTCTAGCATAAGTGTCAACGATTCGTGAGAATATGGGCTACCTTATACTCGTCAGTTAAGTCTTAGTGCCTGACAAGCCCACAACACGCGTACAACTGCTCAGTTGTTTTCACAAATCCGTTGATACGTCTCTCACTCTTGGGTCAGAGCAACCAAAACACGTACCACCATTCGGCAAGCACCATTCGGCATGGTGGACAAACTTTAAAAGGGAACCTACAAAACAGGTTATAGGAACACACGGTTTGCTAGTGAATATGTTTAGCCTTAATTCATTTTCCCACTACGTCTCTCAGTTTTGCTGCGCGGGACAACTGTGAAATATTTATCCTGCTTTTCCCCTTTCGTTGCAGACAATGTGGTCAGAAGGCGTATGCATGCGCTTTTGTGATCGCCTCCTTTCATTCATCAAAGAGCACACAGAGGTGGACGACGGAAGGTCAGTGAAAGTTTGTCATCATTTACGATTAGGCCTAATTTTTTGGCACTATTGCACCCGGGTTATGTCTCTAGAATTTTAATTTCTTTCCGCAAATTCGCACTTGATGCACAATTAAAAAATTAAAAGTATGCACATATATCTTATGCGTCTTCGGCCAGGGTTTTGAATTGGTTATCATAGCCTTAGGTCTGAATTCGACGAACGTACCGCAAAGCGTATTATAAAGCAAACTTTTTCAACTAACATCGGTAACTTCCGTTGTGCACATTTTGCTTTATTCAGTGAAGTTCGGTGTACCGAATGCAGGATATAGTTTCTCGGGCTTTTCGCGCTTTTAAAAGCTGTCGTGCAAGCTGCGCGACAGCTTGCACGACAGCTTGTGCTAGCTGCGCTTTTACAAGCTGTCCCATAAGCATGTTTTACTGGCTGAATCAGCTAGGAGGCGCGCACATCTTCTGCAGAAAAAGTATAATAATAAAGCCTTCACGACCACACAGTGGCGGTGCTCGCTGCTGACCCGAGAGTCGCGGTTCGATCCCAGCGTCGGCTGTCGCCTTACGAGTTAGGTGAAATGCTGTGCTGTGTGATTTCAGTGTACGTTGAGGAATCCCAGCTGGTCGAGATTTTGGTGACCTCGACTATCGCATATCCTATAGCATGAGTTTCTTTGGGACATAAGAACCGATAAACGCATCATTTATTGGGGTATATCGCTTCATGGGGAGAGCCGAGGGAGATTTCAACTGAGCAGGACGCATGTTTTTGCGCCCCCGTCCTTTTCTTCATAGTCGCCTTCATAGTCGCCTTCATAGTCGCCATGTCATGACCGATAGGCTACCGTAAGAAGGCAAATCAACAGAAAGCCGCCCAGGCAATCTCGGCATCGACATCGGTGCTACGCAGCCACAGCAGCAGGAACCACGGTGGCCTGTGCACTCCTAAGCCAAACCCTGGCTATATAGCCCTGGCCTCAGAAGAACTGCCATCAAACTGTCACCTTCTCCCAGGTTTTGAACGAAGGAAAGGTGCAAACCCGATCTTCCTCTCCTGCCGTAACCGTGGCTTCCTGCAAGAGAATTTTCCTTCGCAGCAACACCATCTCCTCTCCTCTCAGAACACCATCGGCCACCGAGCAAAGGGCGCCCGTACCAATTGAACACGTGCCTCCAAGCACCTCTACACGCCCTCATTCAAGCTGTGAAGACATCCAAGATGTTTAAAATCAAATTCCGAGCGACCAGGTGGTCATAATCATCTATCGACTTGTCGGGAAAAAGTCCAACTTCCTGGCTGCGTCGAGGAACGCGGTCGCGGCCTTCCTTTCGAGATTTCTTGCCACCCAACGCGTTTGGGTGAAATTCAAACGCAATCTGGTTGCAGTTTGCACCCATCCTACCACTAATACAACCGACCTGCTCCGAATTGGGGCAATTTGCGAGGTCAAGGTCTAGTCTGAACAACTGAATCTCTCACCGTGTGTCGTCATGATATTCGGAGTGAGTCCATTCATTACCATCGAGGACCTAGCCGCCAACATTGCCTCATCAATGCCAATCGTGGCCGGTGTACGCAGAAGCAACTGCCTCACTCTAACATTTGCGGGGACCACTGTCCTCTCTGGCATCTTGCTGTATTTGCTTAGGCAAAGTCGTCCGCCCCACTACCGTTCCATATGCAGTGCTCTCGATGTGGCTGCTTCGGGCACGCAACGGCCACCTGCTCGCGAGACGAACAGTGCATGCGTTGTGGCATCAAGCACGCTCCAGGACCCTGTGCAACCGAACGACCACACTTCATCAACTGTAGCGGCGAGCATTCCGCACCAAAGCCACGTTGTCCTTCCTGGTAGCTTCAGCGCAAGGTTACAGTCATCAAGGCTTCATCTCACGGCACCGTGACCCGCCGCCAAGCTGCGGAAGAAGCCAGAACCCTTGTGAACAAGCGCGGCAGTGCTGTGGTCATGAAAGGTGTTTCGTTCTGGGACGCTCTTACCGGTGGTAACCAGACTTACGGGGCCGCCACCATTCTACCGCCAGTGAACACACCAGACCTAACTGATGCCGCTGCCGATAACGCGGCGACTGCGTGTCCGTCTCCTATGTGCACCCCAGCACTGGCTGGTCAATTGAAGGATGGCAGGTTGGCTGCACTAGCTGTGGCCCTGCGTTTTTTCTTGAGGTCCATACCGACGAGTTCCGAATCCTAAGCATTATATTCATCGACCCTTCGCTCACATGATGCCATCACACCTTCGAAGTAGCCCTTCGGAGTGGCGCTACCAACGGAGCCAACTGGACTACATGAGTTTGGAAGACCCCGCTCGTCCACTTGCCCGTGTTAAAACATGCACATCTCTGCAACCACCCCCTCCCCACGGCTTTTTCGGCGGTTTATCGGTCGACTGCAAGTGTTGTTATTGTGTGTGAACCATAGTCAGATCTAATGATTTTGTTTTATTTTACTCTTTTCTACTCTTCCCTCCTTTCAATATATTTCGCTCCCATTCTCCCATTCCTTGCGTGGTGTTGTTGAGGTGACCTCGATAGAGAGACAATTAGGCGACGCCTTATTTCTTTCCTTTTCCTTCAGAACCGGTATGCGAGATGGCCTTCAACTCCACAGTCGAAAAGAAAATGTGATGTGGCGAAGGACAGCACACGTATCAGGCATGTGCCAGATTCGGGCTTTTACGTAAACACAACAGGCACTCAATAACTATACACGTGTGCTTATTGTTGAACATTTGTTTCGCTAAAAGCCAAACATACAAAAATAAAACAAGTCATTCATGACGAGCAAAATGGAAGCGATTGGTTCAATAGGAATAGAAACCTTGGCCGAGTTAATAGGCCTTCATCATTGGTTGAAATGGCGCTCATGGGACGAGGACAATACAGAGGTGACTGTTTTGTGATCCTCTTCATCCTCGTCCCGTGGGCATCGTTTCCACCCAAGATTGGTTCAATACTGAAAAGCACCAGGAATTTCGCGTTTGTAGTGACGTCTGTAAATCTAGAAAGTAGCATCTGAGTAAGATTGCCACCTTGGCGTATGATGGAGCTACGTGGCCAAAGAACGGCGTGTTTTTCTTAGGGATTTGCCATATAGGGATGTGCTGGTGCATGGCTGTTCAAATCAGCTCGCATGCTTCCACATCACAGCATTGGATTATGGTGTTGTGTGATCTTATGCGATTCTATTATATTGTATCGGAATAGTTTATTATCGAAGTATCGGCGTGAGGTAGTATTTATGTTTGTACGTTAACATAAAAACATCTGGAAGATCTCACAGGCGTGGAACTCAATTTCACGCAAAGCAATCACCCAACGGTACAAAAGTGCTCGACGCAACGTTTGCCCAAGTTCGCTGGTCAACCTGGCCGACGTTGGGCAATAGTCGGCTTCCGAGGTCTGCCCACGTATGAGGATTGACACTGGCCTAGAGGTGGCCGATCTTATGGCCACCGGCGTAAGACCGACCTCACTGACTGACCTGGCCGAGCGCCAGCCTCGGTAGGGCCACGTTCGGCCCGGTTAAAAATAGCACGCGGCCAGCTGGCGGCCACTAGGGCTAGCCCAGGGGGAGGGGACTTTAACCCTCTCTTTGAAATTTTTTTACTTTGCTCGTGTAATGCATTGCATACATATGCATGGAAACCTTCGAAAACATGCATCAACATTCATAAAGTATGATTGGCGCTACCGCCCCCCCCCCAAATAACATTTCAGGTCACGCCAGTAGCAGCCACTGTAGTTAATAGATACTGATAACCATAAATAAAGCCCACGTCATAGGTACATCAACCTAAAAGTTTTTTTATTTACACAAATGTTTCGTGCGAACACTTATGGTGAATCGTGGATGCCCTCTAGGTGACGCCTGCGCAATCGGCCGCCTTCTTTGTCCTGGGTTTCGGCCAACCATTTTTTCGACGACATTGCAGATGGTCTGTTGATGCACCAACGTGATTTATCATAAAACAGCCTGCAAATACAAAAAAATCAATAAATACAAGAAGAGTTATGATGAGATCAGTCGATAACGCTTTGAAGCACCACTCTAAGAATTCTTAGGAAAGCAGTCGACATGCTTCCAAGCTATAAGTATGACAGAAGGTGAGTGTTATTTTGAGAAGCTCATTTATGTCCTGAAACCAATTAAACCAACAGACAATCCAACCAAGCTAAACATACGGGAAACTATTCAATTTTTTTAAACAGTATTAGGACCTACGCAGAAAGGAGCTAAATGGGTCGAAAAAATGTTCGTTTTTTGTCAGTATGCTCTACTCAAGCTATAAGGAACGGAACTATCAATTCAGTGACACAGCACAGCAATATTTTCAGCCTACAAATGATGAAAGCAGCTTTATAGCATGCAAAAAGGCCAAGTGATCACTCAGTCAAAGGTTGTGTCCAAATTTAGCTTTGCGTGCAGTTGTACAAGTTTCGCAAACGATGGCATGCTATTGCTATAGTTTGAATAGTGTAGCAGTGTACTACTCAGCTGCTGCGACACAAATATTGCGCTTCTCTTCAGAGCACCCCACGAGGTTGGCGTCAGGGTGTCGGTAATCTAACCGAGGTTCAATAAGGTGCAGTTCTGCATTCAGTCAGAGTTATACGACCAAGCTTTAACCTCTCATTAACAGCCAAAAGAACGAAAGAATGACCGGAATGCTGTACCCTTTCTTGTTAACAAGATTCTGTTACATTTCAACCCTTAAGGCTTACACCTCTAAGCCTCACATGATTGCTGCACAGGAGCGTGTATAAGGGCAGGCGGAAGAGCACCTTAGGGAGTCAGGAATGTTTAACACCGTTTAGAGGACACAAAATTGCGCTTTCTCTATAGTCTCAATGTTCATTTAAAGGAAGATCGGGGCTTATATACTCGCCGAACTTAGAACCACGCTGTTCGAACGTTGTCTCCTGTCAAATCTGCCGTCCAAGTGGTTGCAGCCACCACTACTGTTCCACAGATGCGTATCTTCA